TGGATTCTCCACCGCGACGCCCATTCTTCCTCAAAGCGTTTGACACACGGTGGCTGTGTAAGCGGGTGGCTGTGCAGATTCGGCCAGCCCTAGCATTCGTCAGAAGCAACATGATATATCTGGTGATCTGGTGACCATCGTGGCCCGAAGCATCACCTGGTATTTCTATGACACCACGACAAACTCTCTCTGCGATTTAGCATTGCATTGATGCTCAAATTTGCGACATATATCAGGGAAATGGCGATATCTTTAGTATCGAGTTCAAGAACCCATAACAGAAGCAAATTATACGCGGTCGACCGCAGATCGGGAGTCCACGCCCGAGGAGCCGAAAACCTACCAAGACGAATGCCGCTTCAGGAATACGCCATCTTAACATCCAGTCCAGCATTTACCATGTTAAATTCACTCAGTACACCAATTTTTCAAACATAGTATGCTTCATAAGTGCCTCATGGACTCTGGAAGCCCTCTTGGTAACATGGGTAGAACGTCTCAAGAGCATTCCCAATCCAACCATAATGACTTGGGTCCATTTTCTCCCGAACCACAAACGGCTTCGCAAAACACTGCAACAGATATCGAGGCACTCGAGACGCCGATAGTAGAGCAGAGCAAAGTGCATCGAACCACCTGGAGAATAGCCGCTACACTGGTCGCATTGTTCGTAAGCGTCTCGGCAGAAGCTTATAGCTAACCTGCGTTCTTACTGATACATGTCTAGTTGTCCTTGTTCGTTGCTGCACTCGATGCCACCATCACTGCTACAGCTACACCAGTCATCGTTCATGATCTCGGCTCAGCCGTCGGATATACCTGGATTGGGGGTGCCTATCTACTTGCGAATGCCGTGGGAGCTCCAATATGGGGGCAGCTGTCGGATATTTGGGGACGCAAAATGATCTTGCTGGGCGCCCTTGCAATATTCTTTGCGTCGTCCACCGTCTGTGCCGCTACCACAACGATGGCAGGAATGATTGTTGGTAGAGCTCTTCAGGGTTTCTCCAGCGTGGGCATTATATTAATCGTCCAAGTGGTGATTTCTGATCTATTCAGCTTGAGGTTGGTTTCCTCACCGACCTTTTCAGTCCAGAAGCCTAACCTTTCTCTAGACAAAGAAGTCTGTTCCTTGGACTGTCCCAAGGGGTCTGGGTTGTAGCTGGTGGCTGTGGCCCCATCATCGGTGGCTTATTTGCCTCTCTTGTAACCTGGCGCTGGTGTTGTAAGGGTCATGATGTTCGATGGACGTCCACATACTGACAGCGACCAGTTTGGATCAATTTACCCGTTTGTGGCTCGTCATTCGTCATGACGTTGCTCTTTCTGCGAGTTCAACACACGAAAACCGCGTTCCGAGTCGGAATGAAAGCCATCGATTGGTGTGGCCTCTTGACCTTTCTGGCTGCGATTCTGATGGTATTGATCGGACTCAACTTAGGCGGAGTCGTCTACCCGTGGACATCTGCAAAAGTGATCGTTTTACTTGTTGTTGGAGCTACCATGGTTGCCGTTTTCATCTTCTGTGAAGCCAGACTAGCCGAATATCCGTTGCTACCGCTCGGTCTCTTCAAGCAATGGTCTAATGTGGCTAGTCTGCTTGTGTGCTTCTCGCATGGTTTAGTATGATTTTCCTGCCCGAAGAGAAATGCGTTTGCTGACAGCGGTTCAGGTCTTTATGGCTCTGGAATTCTACCTCCCGTTATTCTTTCAATCCGTCAAGACAGCCACTCCGCTCAAGTCTGGTCTGTATGTCTTGCCCATGGCATTATGTACAGGGCTGGCTGGAGTTGCGGCCGGAATGATCATCCACCGTTTTGGTAGGTTCAGAGCGCTCATATGGGTTGGCACCTGTGTGATCTGCCTTGGAAGCGGCTTGCTCGTCATGCTTGACACGGAATCTTCGATTGCAACAGCCCTCGGAATCCAGGTTGTGATAGGCACTGGGTCTGGGCTTTTATTTCAGTCGCCGATGATCGCCATTCAGAGCAGTGTCGATCAGCAAGACGTCGCAACAGCGACTGGCACGTTTGCGTTTGTCCGAAGCACTGCCATCGCCGTATCGGTCATTATTACTGGTGTAATATTCCAAAGCTCCATCGATCAAAAGGCGTCTATGCTCGCCGAGGCTGGCCTTCCATCATCGATTCTGGAACGATTAACGGGCAAGGAGGCTGCGGCGAACGTCATGATCTATGCTGAGATAGGGGATCCTTCTCAGAAGCTTGCTGTGTTGCGAGCGTTTGCATGGTCGACGCGCCAGATGTTTATCGCCACCACCGCCTTCGCCGGCTTAGGCCTTGTTGCAGGTTTGTTCGTTAGACACGGTCATCTGAGCGAGGAACACACTGAAACAGTCACCGGAATCAAAGAAAAGACGCCAGTCACTTGAGCGCACAATCCTTATCAGGAACAGCATTAGCACACTAAGATAGCCGTCACTCTCGCGACAACGAAGGGTGAATATGCACATTTCCTCTGCGCCTATGCACTACCGAGGACAGCGAATCTAGAAATGAATCCTTCGGGTTGCGCAAAGCGAAAAAAAAAACCTTGTACGGAGGGACTCTTCACTCGAATATCTTGCTACCTCTACAACCCTCACAGATGACTGATTAGCACCAAAGTGATTGTGTATTCCTGTCAACTTAGAGGTTGGACGGATAGATACCGAAGGACGACGACGCCATCGTCAGCCTATCTTCGTGTTGTATACCATTCCACAACCAAAACTGACTCCGTTCCGGGTCATATCTGGGGTTAGCCCCAAGCGGCATCATCGCAATCTGCGAAGACGCCGGACCAAGCGAGTGACCGAGATACAAATGCTATTTTAGCGGATTCAGACCAGATAATCCCGAGTTCCCGTATCTGTGCGAAACAGCATATCACCAATACAAGCTATACGTCGGCCGTTCTCCCCGAGCCTGGTGGATACTAGCCTTCGAGTGCCATAATTCCAGATTTAGTCTAGTACGCCTTCGTCACTTGTGGACGCTATCATCAAGATATTGGACGTTATAGCTCTGTTGAAGTCAAGCGATAAGCAGCAGGTTCTCACAGTCCTTTTCTTCTCACCGTACTCCTAACTCAAAGGCACTTTCTTTGGCTGATTTGTCTTCCATTCGCAAAGACAGGAGTCTCAAGATGCTTCTACCGTCCACCACATTCTTGGACTTGGATAGTTTATCCAGAGTACTCAGTATCTACAAATGGATTGCTTTGCTTTTCCTGGGAGTCCCCTTACTATGGATTACCATTGACTATGTGAGAGTGCTACGATTGCGACGCCGGATGCCTCCAGGGCCGTTTCCCCTGCCCATCATCGGGACTGTCGGTAGGATTCCCATGTCAAAGCCCTGGATCACGTTTGAGAGGTGGGCAAAGGAGTACGACAGCCCACTGATCACCATCTGGACGGGCACCACCCCAACCGTGATTGCAAACGACTGTTGGAGCGCGTCGGAGCTCATGGACAGAAGGGCGAATATCTACTCCTCAAGGCCTCATATGGTCCTTGTCGGTGACATGTTTGACGAAAGCACGACGAATCAAACCTCTTTGGTCTATGGGGATCAGTGGAGGACTCATCGCCGGATCATGGTGATTGCACATGTATATCTTTTTCCTACCGGGTTGAAGCTGACCTGCTCTAGCATGCTGCTGTCGGGGCACAAGCTGTCCGAGCGTACCGCACTTTCCAAGGCAATGAATCTCGTGTGCTGGCTCTCAACATACTCGAAAGTCCTGATGACTATGTAAATTCTATCGAACGATACTCCACCTCAGTCGTGTCCATCGTTGGTTGGGGCCGACGAATTCAGGCCAACAATGATTACGTCCTAGGGATCGCCCTGTCCTTTGTCCAGAACGGTGCCGGCTTTTCTAGTCCTGGTCAATTTCTAACCGAGTCGTACCCATGGTTGTGCAAGCTTCCTGCGTGGATCTACCCGCTGCCTTCGATCCTGTGGAAGGAAGGCCAGAGGTCGCTCAAGTACTTTTACGCCCTTTCCCTGGAGGCTTCACTGTCAAAGATTGACAACTTCTCAAAGCACCTCATAAAATCACAGAAGCAATACGGCCTGAGCTACAAGGAAGTGGCCTCCTTGACTGGAAATCTGATAGGAGGTGGCGTGGACACAACGACCACGTCGACAATCTCCTTTATCTTTGCCATGTGCCTCTTTCCGGAGGTTCAGCGCAAAGCGCAGGAAGAGCTTGACCGAGTCCTTCCGGAGAGAGATCGCTTCCCTACCTGGACAGAGGAGAATCAGCTCCCGTATCTTGACGCCATTATCACCGAGAACTTCAGGTGGCGATCGGCCATTGTCCTAGGCGGGCCTCCGCATGCGCCCATCAAAGACGACGTCTATAACGGCTACTTGATACCCAAGGGAACCACCCTGATTGGAAACCTATGGGCCATCCACCGCAATCCGAGAGACTACCCGAGCCCGGATGAGTTTCGTCCAGAGAGATGGCTGAACGAGGATGAACGCCGACCGAATCCTACAAAGCGAGGCATCTTCACGTTCGGCTGGGGAAGACGCGCCTGCAGCGGCCAGCCCATGGCCGAGCAGGGCATTTGGTTCACGTGCGCGGAGCTACTGTGGGCTTTCAAGATGAGGGCCATTGATGAACATGTAAGCATTTTCAGATCCTGTCATGCCATGCCCGACACTGCTAACATGTACCAGGGAAACGATGTCAAACTAGATCCGTTCGCCTACGACGATCGATCCACGTCGCGTCCATTGCCTTTCCGAGTCGAATTCAAACCGCGATTCCGCGGCGTCGAGGACATTATAAGATCCGAAGCGAAGAGAGCACTCGCAGAGCTCGAGATGTACAACGGGGAGACTGCTGTGACGATGGACAACGCGGAACAATTCCTCAAGCAATAATAGCTTCGCGGATCAGGTCCTTTTTTTAATCGGGACCTGGAATCTCTTTGTTAAATATATGCCACGCGCCTTGAAATCTCCTCTCAACTTGGGAAACTATTCCCGTGCCCACGGGACCTGTGATGTAGGGATGGGCGACTTCTTTCCCGATTCAAAGTACGCCGACACCTCGTCGATGAATTGACGTCTCCTTCTCGATCCCGTTGCCAGCATGGCTAGAGTGGCACGTTAAATCTTGCCTTTCACGCGGGTTGTTCCACGCTTTGAGATGGGAAGGGAAAGGGGGTTCTACTACTCACCAGGATTGACGTCGCTCGTGTATTCACCGTCCATGACTAAGAGTGTGTAGCCCTTGCAAAATCCGTAAGTGATGGGGAAGAGCCGGATGGTGGTGACGACGCCGATGTATTCGAGAGGCAGCTTTGACCAGTTTGTGCTGAACTTGATCATGTAGTCGAGGTGCTGTATGGATTTCCACGTCAATCAGTCAATCAATTAATCGATCACCACTGCGTAGAACCTTGACGAACAGCTCCCCCCACACACACACCCTCCTCACAGAGGATGAAGGTTTTGGGATCATATCAAGCCATAGAGAGAGAAAAACAAAAAGGGGGGGGGGGGTACTTTGCCATACATCCAACGCCTCAACTCGGCAAATGATTTCATGCTCGTCCTTGAAATCCCACCGCACAAACTGCGTCTCCTCGCCCTTGTCGTCGTAGATCTTTTCCGCCTTTTTCAGACCCGAGTGGATGGGCTCCCACTGGTGGATTTTGGAGACGAGAGCCCAGACGTCGTGGACGGGGGCTTTAATGACGCCGGACTCCTTCACGTAGGCCGCGAGGGGAAGGAAGCTCATCTTGGCCAGTACTGAACAAAAAGGGGATTTGTGCGTGTGAGACGCCTTGGTCGGTATTGTCGTTGATGGTGGCTTCTTGTTGACGGCTACATGGTTCCCGATGGTAGTACGAGGTATATTGTCCTGGTATTTGATCGTGTGTAGCGTTCGGTGCTTTTCCCGAGCTCTCGGGGCGTGGCAGGGCGATCTCCAAGTCCCAACTAGGCTGCTAGGCAACTCTGTATACTGAAGGCGGACCTCGCGGAGAACTGGCTCGGCAGGTCTCGGGTTTGTCATTATCTGTTTCTCAAAGTCAAATGGTCGCTATGACCAAGAAAGAACCGGTGAAGCGGCAGAGAGGCAGGACACCGACGTCAAACACGGAATGCTCCAAGGGGGGTTGATGGAACTATTATGGACGAAATGTCTCTGCCACCGCTGATTACGCTCGAGGAGCATTTCGTCTCCTCTCACCTGCTGTCTCATCTCTCCGAAATCTACTCGGAACAGCTGAAGCACCTCCCAGATGTAGCGTCCAAGCTGTTGGACGTGGGCGACATCCGGCTGCGGGACATGGACACGAATGGCATCTCCTTGCAGATTGTCTCCCATGGCCCCGGCCCAAGTACTCTGCCGCTGGCACCGTGCCGACAGGCCAACGACCAGCTCAGCGAGGCCGTGAAGAAACATCCCACGCGATTCGCAGGGTTCGCCGTCTTGCCCATGGCTACTCCCGAAGATGCAGCCGGCGAGCTCCGCAGGTGTGTCGAGGAGCTGGGATTCGTGGGCGCCCTGATCGACAACCACGTCCATGGCAAATACTACGACGCGCGCGAGTTCTGGCCTGTCTTCGAGACGGCATCGGAGCTGGACGTGCCCATATACCTCCACCCCATCTACCCTACAGAACAGCAGCAGCAGTTGATCTACCAGGGCAACTACAGCATCGGGGCCGAACGCGGCATGGGCTCCAGCAGTTTCGGCTGGCACCAGGACTGCGGGCTGCACGTGCTGAAGCTCTTCGCGTCGGGTTTATTCGACGCGTACCCCAAGCTCAAGATCATCATCGGGCATTTTGGGGAGATGCTCCCATTCATGCTGGAGCGCGTCGAGAAGCTCTGCGTCCGCTGGGGCGAGCGACGGCGGGGTTGGCGACAAGTCTGGGACGAGAACATCTGGGTCACGACCAGCGGTGTGTGGAGTCTGGCGCCCCTGGCATGTCTTTTGCGGAACACCGCTGTCGACAGAATCCTGTATAGCGTGGACTATCCCTTTGAGAAGAATGAGAATGGGCTGAAGTGGATCAAGGAGTTGCAGGAGAGCGGTATGGTTACGCCGGAACAGCTCGAGATGATAGCATTCCGGAACGCGGAGCAATTGCTGCGCGTCAAGGCCGGGAGGAAGGTCACGACAGCGACAGAGAGCGCTATGTCTCAATGAGCCTTTAGGAGTAGATGCTGGAGGTGAGAAGAACCCCGGTCTGGCTGTAATTGATTCCTTGGATGGCTCCCACCCTGAATAGTACCTGCTGTGGCAGCCTGAATAGAGAAAAGCGATTCCAGGTGGATTCCCTCGGCGCACGTAGCTTCTCGAGCTCGTACATTCGGCGTCCAGGCCTGCCGGTCGCTATAGGTCCCCAGAGCCGGAGGTATCGATCCGGCATTATGTGAGGAAGACGGAGTATTTCGGACATGAGGCCATCCCAAGCCCTGTCCATGCGAGGCGCTGTTGTGATTTGTCGCATTAAATACTTGATACATGGGCCATGTATATAAAAGCCACATATTGCGTGCACCTGAATTCCATTCTTAACTTGTCTGATACTCGCCTACGATTACTTTTAAGCCTATCGACAACATGAGTACGTTTCAGAGCAGCCTCGAGGCTAGGATCGCCGAAGGTCCCAAAGGCATCTTGTCTGCCGTGGTAGTGGGATTCGGTCGAGATGGAAAAGGTAAATGGTGGCCTTTGCAAGTTCCAAGCGACAAGAAACCTGAGCTCACAGACTCTCTAGATGTGGTGATGCGCTACGAGAAGAGCGCGGGTCGACAGAGCTGGAGTTCGGATACACCAGCGTCTCTGGACAGTACCTTCTGGGCGTTCTCTTGCACGAAGCTCCTCACCACCATTGCCGCTCTGCAATGCGTCGAGCGAGGCTTGGTGACGCTGGACACCGAAGTGGCGACCATCCTGCCGGAGCTCAAGGACCCTCAGATCGTCGTCCCGGACGGAGACTCGTTCACGCTCAAGCCCGCAACGGCCAAAATCACGCTGAGACACCTGCTCTCACACACCAGTGGGCTGAACTACGACGCCATGAACCCGTTGACGATCGCGTGGAGAAAGTCCCGAGGCGAGGCGCCCCTCGTCTTCAGTGGCCGCGTCAAGGACTCGTACTCGACGCCGCTGCTCTTCGAGCCCGGCGAGGGCTGGGTCTACGGAGGCTCCATCGACTGGGCCGGTATCCTGGTCGAGAGGCTCAACGGCAACGTCAAGCTCGGCGAGTACGTGGAGACGAACATCTTCAAGCCGCTGGGGATGAAATCTTCCACCTTCGACATCAAGAGCCGGCCGGACATCCAGGACAAGTTGCTGGAGATGAGCTACCGGGGCAGCGACGGCCTCCTGGTCCCCTCCACGTCGCCCTATACCGGCTCCTCCGCCGAGCATAGCGGAGGGATGGGCCTTGTGACGAGCGTGGCGGACTTTGCTGCTGTACTGATGGATCTGATCAGGGAGACGCCGATCCTCCTCAAGAGCGAGACTGTTGAGCTGATGTTCAAGCCTCAGTTTCCCGTCGGGAGTGCTCAGCACAAGGGACTCCTTTCTCAAGATGTAAGATATGCCCTTTTCCCCTTTAGAGACCTTGCGTATTCGCCTTCGACAGGTTCACTAACGATAATGACTAGTCCCTACACAAGCAACTCACGGGGATCGAAAGTGGCGATGCTTCCACTCCCATCAGCTTCGGCCTGGGCGGCCTGATCACGTTGGAAAAGGTGCCCAACCTCCCCAAAGGCACGCTAACATGGAACGGCATGCCCAATATTGGGTGGTACGTCAACCGCGGTCTGGGTCAGGGAGGCTTGTTCGTCACCCAGATCTTGCCGGCAGGAGACGAGATCAGTGTGCAATTACTGGGCCAGTTGGAGAGAGATGCGTGGAAGGCCTACTACGCGCACCATGGCGGCGAGTAGAATGCCATTAGATACACAACTACCCATAGTAGAAAGACCGTGTTATATGGACGGTCTCGCAGGCCTCCAGAACGGATAGACTTGCAATTTCTCCCAGTCCCAGACTTTCCCAGTAACTAGAACGTCGCGCTTAAGCCGTTCCAAAATCTCCTCCTTGCTCTCTGCGTATGCGAGCATACAGCTCCCCGCCATGGACATGGGTTTCCCAGCCAAAGCAGGCTCATCCAGGAGAGCGCCTGTGGTTCCGTTTTGATTGTTCCAGATCAGCAAACTTCCAGGGCGGAAGGAATCAAATTCCAACGCGGCGCGGATAGACGTATGTACATACCTCCAAACACCCAGAACCCAGCAGGATCGTTCTTGCGGTCCTCGCCGTGTTTACTGGAATGGTCAGCGAGAAGGTATTTTGGAGACTGAAAGGTCTTACTCACGGGAGGAGTTCTCTTCTTCGATCCGCAGTATCGGGCAGGTCGTGGACGACGATCAGCCATTCCGACTTTTGGGGAGGTGCTGTCGCCATTGTTCTTGCACGGGTTGTAGGGATATACCCAGTTGAAGTGTACAGGTGATGATGATGAAGATGTGTATATAGACCGCGTATGAGTCGCATATAGTTCCTTATGGACTAGCAGCTGTATGGTTGTGAGGGTTGTGCAGTATGAATGTCGGGTTCCTTGTTGCCCTTCAGCCTCTGTCTGACCGGGTCCTGGATGTGTTGCCGATGCAAGGCTGAACAGGGGTTCACTAGGCCATGCCTCGTACCCGCGCAGTCAACGCCATCCGCTATTGCCATTGGTCAAGATCCTGTTCACACCCTCTTTTCAGCACTGACAGTCTCCACAAACGCGGCCTCGCAATTCATCGGCCGAAAAACCCGAAGTGATCACAAGTCCTAGATGGCACTGACTTGGCTGCTGTGGCGGATCCGACTTGGTAGAGATCCAACCCAGAGTCCATGGTGATATAACAATTGTTCACTCGGGAATGTACTCAGGTCAGGAGGCTGTGTGGTATTCTGTGCGTAAATCGTTTGTGAAGGATTGAGTGGCATCGTGGAGGGGAAGGGCATTTGTGGTATCCATCGCCCCGGGCTCAGATGTGCTCATGCCAGATGATTGTGCCCGGTAGATGCCGTACATTCAATGTTGGGAATAATTCGTCCACAGTCCATCGCTCGAGGCTATCGATAGGACTCTGTGTCAAGCTTGATATGGGAGGCGAAAACATTTGCCGTCGTTCCAGTATCCGAGTGTATCAAAGCTTGTCAATGGGTGGGCACGGATAAGGTCTCGTAGATTTTCAAGACACTGGCCATCCGTCGTTGAGCCATTTGCAATTGTGGGTGTGTCGTCGATAAGTCTAGGCCTAGCCACTGGTTCAGGGCCCAAGCACCCAAGAAGAAGGTGGAGGAGGGAAACTCTAGTTACCCCGCTCCACGCCAATACGCCAATGCTGCCTGCGCCCCGTGCCCCTGCGGTCGTGTGTGCGAAGCATCCTAGGCACTCTCAACCTCCCAAGCCTCCCCTGCGCCAATCTACGTTCGCCCTCAACTCTCTCATTTCGACGTCAGCCAAAATATGTTCTGAGTACCTAAACTACTACGTCCACCTGCAATACGGTGCTCATTCCACATCCCATCACAATTGGCGCTGCATTTGATATTGCCGCCCCCCAACTCAGGCCACGATTGTTTCACGTCCTCTCAAATCCTCCCAGACCTCGTCCCGCATGGTATGACACCCGGGGCTACTCCGCCAAACAGCGTTGACAGCTAGCCGTTCCTTGGGCCATAATGGGCTCTCGAGATCCTTCACCTGCAGAACTGCAACTGCACCCCCAGGCCGGCAGCACCACCACGAACCAGGACAGCGAACGTCCCTCTGCACAACCACAACACCCTCAACAGGAACCTGGCCAAGAAGAGGATGAGCCTCAGACAGGACCAAAAGATGCCATCCAACCTCGGGTGTGTGTGACATGTCGCCGTCGCAAGGTCAAATGCGACAAGAGGCAACCCTGTCAAAACTGTGTCAAGACTCGCACCGAATGTGTGTTTCCATTCAAAAAGTCGGCCGTGGAGCGCCAGACTGCTGCCGATGCTGAACTGTTGCATGAGTTGAGGAGACTGGAGCCATTGTTCCAATCTCTGGTATCCAAAATCAACGACGATGGTGCTGGTGCCGTGGAACGATCCCTCCAGGCCATCACCAGCGCTGCCATGGAGGCTGCTGCTCCTCCTCCTCTTCCTCATCCTCCCCCGCCTCCTGTCATTGTAGAGCAGCCCATCCCTCGCGCCATTGCGCATCCTATCGAGCCACCAGCAAACAGCCCCATGATTCTGGATTTGCCAAGTCTGCACGGCTCGCCTATGACCATTAACTCAATGTCCGGGTCGGAAACTACCCCGTGGAGCCCCTACGGCACGACTGTTGGTAAGCTGGTCAAGGATTCGGGGAGGCATCGCTATATCAGCGGTTTGTTTTGGGACTCTCTACATACAGAGGTGAGTGTACTGAGCCGGTCATGATTTGTGCTCACCCAAATTCGCAGGACGACGATAGCTTGTCCGACTCTGCATCCGATACATCTGATGATCCGGCGGCGGACGATTTGGTCGATGACCAGCTCTATCTTGGTCACGCCCCCACGGGGAGAAGTGATCTTCGGTCACGACATCCACCGCAACAACATCGCTTTCGGGCGTGGCAACTGTTCCAAGAAAACGTTCAACCTTTGGCCCCAATATTGCATCTTCCCACTGTTGGACCATTGGTCGTGGAGGCGCTGAAATCTGCAGACGAGCGTCCCCTTCCACCTCGCATCGAACCGTTGATTTTTGTCATTTACTATGCCGCCGTCACCAGTCTGACCCCAGAGGCGACCCGGCAGGAATTCGACGCTGATCAGGCCATCCTATTGAAGAGGTACCGTGTTGGCCTCCAGGGTGCCCTTTCACGCGCCAAACTACTGGATACCGACGAGATCCTCGTCTTGCAAGCTTTTGTTTTGTTCTTGATCATTCTGAGACCACACGATCCCAGCCTTTCCTGGAATCTCACGGGGTTGGCGGTGCGTCTGGCTCAATCGAGAGGCATGCATCGAGACGGGAGCTTCCTCAAGCTTTCAAAGTTTGATTCAGAAATGAGGCGAAGAGTGTGGTGGCACATCTGTCTACTGGATGCTGCCTCATCTGAAGATCACGCCTGTACGCCCACCACGTAAGTAACCCCATACAGACCCTCGGAGGGGTACTCCGGTCTAACAAACTTTGGCCATATAGTCTGGAAATCAGTAGTTTCGATGCCGCACTGCCTTGCCGGGTCAACGACTGCGACTTGTTCCCAGACATGACAGAGTACCCTCCTGAACGTGAAGGATTTGTGGATTCTTGCTTCGCCAATGCCCGCTATCGATTTGCGGACATTTGGCGGACTGTAATTGACAAACGACGCCCCGCTGGTGCGGACGGTAAAAGCTTTGCATCAATGACCATGCCAGAGAAGGTGAGCTGGGTGGAGGACCAGCGGCAAAAGCTAGAGAACGAGTTTCTTCATTCCACCCCCAACGACCATCCTCTGCAATGGGTAAGATCAAGTGCCCAATCTGTAATGCGACCACGAGCTGAAAACCTCCAGGTCACCGGGACTATCGTGAAGCTTCTGATCTGCAACCTTCGCCTTTTTGTTTATAACCCGCTGTCGCAAAACAACTTGCTGACCGAGGAGGAAAGAATCACGGCTTTTGTGGAGGCTGTTGCAGCCTTGGAACATTCCTACAGCCTCAGAACCGACCCGAGAGCTCGCAAATGGGCATGGTTGCTCAGTTGCTATCACGAGTGGTTTGCTTTGGCCGTGGCATTGGCCGAAATGTGCTCTTACCCTTTGAGAGACCACGTCGAGAGAGCTTGGCGAATTGTGGAACAAAGTGTAGTTCTCAGGTGGAACTCGTCGCGAGACCACAGGCGCGCTCATCAATGGCGCTCCATCATCAAATCCCTAGACAAGGCCAGGGCAGAGAGGAAAAAGGCTCGAAAACGCCGCCGCTCAACCTCCTCTTCTCAGGCAATCACACGAACCGCCAAAATTGCAAAGTACGCCGCGCATCCCTCAATTGCGCCACCATCGGCCCAGAATGCTTTACAGGTGGCCCACGGGTCAGATAGTACAGCACAGACATTGGTCCAGAGACCTGACTCAATCGGACTCGGGGATGTGGATATTCACGAGGGCGGCCCTTTTGGGACGTCCAACATGCTTCACTTTGATGCTGACCTTCCCGATGACAGCCAGACAATGGATCCATTCCTGGGGACGGATTTCGATCCAAGTTTTCTCGACATGAGATCATTTGAGAATCTTCTACATACTCCTCAAGCGGCGGGGTCCCATTACCGCGATCCTGGCTAGAACTATATCTCTGGGGGAGTGAATGTCAGGGGTATTGTGGACGTCTCGATGCAGGACCAAAGGACCAAGATAGCTGTCTTACTCGTCTTCAGCAGCCCTCAGAATCGACCACTCTTGGCACGGATACAATCAACCTCCCATCAGCTCCGCCGCGGCGCTCCGAGTAGGAAGGGATTGCCATTTTACACAAACATTCCGCACAAGTCGCACGGTGGCTCACATATAACAGTGCGACGGCAGTGATTTGGTCACAGCGCCTTATGCTGGTGGTTGGTGTCTCAGAAGAAGATCTTTCAGCTTGTCGCGAAATGAAGGATAACATCAGCGCTACAGATCCGCCCTTGCTGGAGCCCTTTACGTTCGAACACACCTAGTCCCAGCGCGCGGCCGAGCAGGACAGCTGTATCCCTGGTCATAGCACCTCAATGGCAGCAAAGCGGTTCATTGACGAACGAATCTCGCCAAGTATTGGTCCAGTTCGGGTTCGGTCAATTCGGAGATGCCGAGTGCCTTGTTGTCGTTGTTCTCATACAGGCAACCGAAATCCGGTGCAAAGGCCCCGCGGATTGCGTAGGCGTTGAACACCCGCAGGCTGAAAATGCCCTTGGCCGCTTCTTCTTGGACGTCTTGGACCAGCTGGGCCGAGTCGACTGAGATGGCAGTCCATTCCTTGCTTGGCTCGAGTTTCTTTGCGATTTCCAACAGACGTTTCTGGGAAATGGCAACCTCGCTAATCCGAACAGGTCGATTGCTGAACTTTTCAGGTTGCAGCAGGATCTGGACAACTGCATGGCTAATGGCCGACAAGGTTGAGGTGGAAAATTTGTGGGCGCCGCCGTCGTAGATGCGAATTGTGTTGGTTTTGAAGTCGAGGATGGAACCGACTCGAAGACCAAAATCGAGGATCACGTTGTTGTATATATACGTGTATATCAATCGACTCTTGGATGCTGCTTCCTCCAGATATGCTTCCAGGGCCACTTTGCCCTTGTATATCGGAAACGCGGATATCTTTGTGTTTTTCAAATCTGCCCCAAATTCCGAAGGGATGAAATGCTTGACGCCAGCAGCCACTGCAGCGTCAATCAGATTGTGCTGGATGCGTGCCGTGTCTCCTTTGCCAATGGCCGAAACCACTGCGTCTTGGGCACGGAGGGCGTCGGTGAGGCTGTCGACCGAATCATAGTCGACTTGTTTGTACTTGACACGGTCATTTTCGACGTGGCCATTGCCATTGCTATGGACTGAGCGAGTGAGAACTGTCACATCGAAGCGGCCAGACTCGGACAGCGCCTTCAAGATGGCTTGACCGACGAAGCCAGAGGCCTGTCAAAGTCAACACCCACAGCATATTAGAACGAGGTCAGCCAGAATCACTCACCCCGCATAATGCCACAGTCTTGATTGTAGAGTCTGCCTTGTCAACGGCCATGGCGTACAATCGAAATATTGTGCTGGATTTGGATGCGGCGAAGTATTTTCATAGACACACCACTATAGCGGATGCACTTGGTGGAACATTGAAATGCGTGTACCTACATACTCACAGCACAATCTCGTGAACCTCTCATGCACATCGTGGCCAGCCGGTGGTAGGTGGTGAACGGCCGCCTCGCCTGCATCGCCCCGAGAGACTCCGTATGGGGTTGGAACGGGGTTTGAGGGACGCTCGGGCAAATCTATCAGCAGCCCGAACCCCTCGAGTACGGGGCAGTTGGTAGTCCATGTCTGGGCCCCGTGCCGCCCGTCACGGTCCAGCAAAGGGCAAGAGGCAAGATAATTCGACCAGAGCTTTGTGTGAGGCGTCGTTCTCAACGTGTGTTCCTTGTCGAGGTACGTATGTATTTCCCCTCCCTAAACCGCGAAAGAAATCGAATGGTGAATTGACTCTCTAGAATATCTCGTGTACGGATAGAGACCTGGTCTGAATCATTCTACAAGTTGTATAGGAGACTCCACCATGGAAATTCGCAAGACTGGCCTTATACTGTGTGTCGTTGCGGCCATATACACTATCGTGTGGCTATACCGAAAAGTCACATCGCCAGAATGGTCTATTCCAGGCCCCTGGCTCGCACGCTTCTCACGGATCTGGTACTTCTGGCACGTACGGGCAGGTTCATTCCACCACGAAAACATTGAACTGCACCGAAAGTACGGCCCCATTGTTCGCGTCGGGCCCAACTTGTACTCGATCGCCGCGCCAGACAAGGAGGTCTACGGAATTGGATCCAAGTTTCGCAAGTCGGACTGGTACGAGGGCTGGAAACATCCCAGCCCTGACAAATGGGCCCTGTTTGCCGACCGGGACATACGCAGGCACGCCGAAACCCGGAAGCGATTCCAGGGCCTATACAGCATGAGCGCGCTGCTTTCGTACGAGAAATACGTCGACGACTGCACCGCCATCTTCGACCAGCGGCTGACCGAGTTCGAGAGGTCGGGCGAACAGGTCGACATGGCGCACTGGTTCCAGTGCTACGCCTTCGACGTCATGGGGAACCTGACGTACTCGGAGCGGTTTGGGTTCTTGGACCGCGGCGACGACATCGCCGGCACGATCGCCGCGCTGGAGAAGTCGGGCGTCTATTCGACCCTGATCGGCATCTACGCCTGGCTACACCCGTTCGTGTACCGGGTCATGGAGTTCCTCCCCAACAACGGTGCTTCGGGGAGGACGTACCTCATGAACTTTGTGCAGCAGAAGATTGACGCGCGAGAGAAAGAGCGGACTGCGGAGGGTACGAAACCGACGACAACAACAGCAAAGCATATCCAGCAGAGCCAGCTCGCCCAGGAGCAACAGGAACAGACGCCGCGAGACTTTCTCGACAAGCTCCGCGACGGACACCTGGAGAACCCGCAGCAAGTGACCAGATACCACATGTTCATGATGGGCCTCAGCAACATCATCGCCGGCTCCGACACGACCGCGGTGTCACTCTCGAGCGTGCTATTCCACTTACTCACCAACCCGCGCACGCTGGAAAAGTTACAACGCGAAATCGCCGAGTACAGAAAATCACGGACATCCGTCCAGGAGGACGGTGATGCACCGACCCTCCCGTTCAAAGTCACCCAGGACCTCCCCTACCTGCAGGCCGTCATCAAGGAGGCCCTCCGCATGCATCCCGCCACGGGCCTGCCACTGTGGAGGGTCGTTCCTGCTGGGGGCGCCACCGTGCTGGGCCACTACTTCCCTGCGGGCGCGATCGTCGGCGTTAATAGCTGGGTGGCACATCGGAATGAGGAGGTCTTTGGCAACGATGTCGGCCAGTTCAGGCCGGAGCGGTGGATCGAAGCGAAAGAGGGGGGTGATGTGGAACGGTTGAAGCGCATGGAGGCTTTTTACATGCCGGTATGTCCAGATCGATAAGCGATATCACTCTCTATCCCCAGATTCCTATCTCCACTATCCCCATCCCTCTCTTTCAACTATCCATCCTTCCACCTATCCTCCTTTCCCACTGTGTCCTTGTCTCCCTTTCTTCTCCTCTTCATTTGAGTTTGGACACCAAACATAGCTAATCCTGGACATATGAGTACACAGTTCGGCCTCGGCTCCCGCACCTGTCTGGGCCGCCACATCTCCACGCTCGAGATGAGCAAGCTGGTCCCGCGCCTGGTCGAGCACTACGATTTTGAGCTGGCCATGGACCCTGCTGATTGGCGCACAGTCAATTACTGGTTCGTCCGGCCGGAGCGGTTTCCCGTCCTGGTAAAGCGAAGGGCTTCGGTGGGGGCGTCGTAGGTATGGTTTGTATTGTCGGCTACGTTGGAGGGAAGTAAGTGAGGCTTCTGAGCCTGAGGAGAGAGGAAGAGGGGAGGGAGAAGGAAGAAGATACTGTGACAACGATCTGGGCGACACGACTCAGCCTATCACATTGGAGAGGATATGCTGAGGTAGGAATATCGTATAACTATGTATTTTCATAAATAGTCCCACAAAAGAAGAGCGATATCATTTATTGTAGATTCATTTTCCCATATACGCCGCCTATGTATATGCATGTATGTATGTGATGTGATATGTCTGTCGACAACAATACCTTCCTATTATATAACATTGCACTTTTGCTTCGTTTGCTTGGGGTTTCAATGTGTTACATCAAAGGGCCCGGACATGGCTTTTAAACCTCACGCTACGCGTCTTTGACAAGTTTCGACCGATCAATGCGAAACATGGCGATCAAGGCCTCCTTGGCCTTGTCCATATTCAGCCCCTTTTGCTTCTCGGCGATCTGGCCCGCGCTGTCTCTCAGCTTGGTCCGGACGTGCGACCACTCGAGGGTTTCGTTGGTGCCCTCGACGGCGACGGGGCGGAGCTTGCCGTCCTTCTTGCGCCACACGCCGTCGATCATGACGGCCTCGACGTCGCGGACGTCGCTGTGCCGGACCACCGCGGTGAGCGGGTCCGAGTCCGCCACGCAGCTCATCCCCGTGCTGTGCAGCGTGTCGAAGACGACCAGGTCCGCCAGCTTGCCCTCGGCGAGGGACCCGATCTTGTCGCCCAGCTGCACGGCGCGCGCGGCCCGGATCGTCGCCGCGTTGAACGCCTCCTCGGCGCTGCCGCGCAGCGTCAGTGCCATGGCCCCCTGCTCGACGTTGGGCAGGTTACTCTGCTGTCGCGCCATCTGCAGCGCCGAGCGGGCGAGTCCGAGGATCGACGACGTGTTGTTGGTGTGGCAGTCGACGCCGAAGCTGAAGTTGACGCCGGGATGGAACGCGATGGGCCAGCCGAACCCCATCTGGGACTCGGTCTCGGGCGTCGAGGACACGGGTACTTGCGATGTGACGAGTAGATCGGTTTCTTGGGCCGTGAGTCCCGTGGCGTGGGAGAGGAGAATGTCCGACGGAGACTTGATCAGTCCGTAGGCGTTGAGGGTGTTGATTAGAGGGTGTTGACCTTACATGAGGTAAACGAGTTAGTCTTTGGTTCGCCATGAGCATTGTAAGGAAGTTGGTCTTCTTCGTCACTGGAGAAAGTGCGCACCAGCCGCGGGGATGGGATCACGCATAGATAGGTAGCTATACATACCAAAGGTAGCATTCTTGGCATAATGACTGGTGAAGTTTTTGACGCCCGCGTTTCTCAACGCTTCAAAGATGCCCGTCACGGCCTGCTGCGGCAGGAAATAATAGTCAAACGCGAACCCGAGCGTCACGCGGCCGTGGCCAAAGGGCTGTTTCGCCGCGAGTTCGAAGAGATGGTCCATGGTGGATTTGGGCATGATGTCCATGGACGGCTCGCACGTGTCTTTGTCCCATTTGGTGAAATACGGTGCGTGACCGTAGGCGAAGATGGAGCGGATGCCAGATGCACATGTTGCTGCTAGAGCTTTGCTGACTGGTTCGCTCTGGTTAGAAAGGAGTAGCAGTAAGGCTGTCCGAGAGGGACTCACCGTGTTCTCTGGTTTGACACCCGTGCGCGTGGTCGAGCACAAACGTTGTCCCCGCGTCGATGGATTCCAGCGCACCGCCGAGCTGGCCCCAAAAGATGTCTTGCGGGCTGTACACGTAGCTCTGCCAGAATCCTGTCGAACTGGTCAGCACCCCGCGACTTGAACCAGATCCCAGAAAAGAATACAGGAAACTTGTCGCTCGGCACCTACCACTGGGAATATAATCAAACACCGACTGTTCGGCGTGTCGACCCTTCAACTGCGTCTGCCACAGGTGATGATGCGTGTCGATGAAGCCAGGACTGATAATCTTGCCGCGACAGTCGGTAATCGCCGCGCCCGAGGGAGCAGACAATTTCTGTCCGATCTTGACGATCTTGTTGGCCTGGATGAGAATGTCGGTGTTGCGGAGCACCTCGACGTGGTCATTTCTGCCGTGGTAGAGAACGGTGCCTCCTTGGAGGAGAGTTGTAGCGGCAGCCATCTGTTTCTTCTGGTGGTCCGCGCCGGCGAAAAATAAAACTCGTGTCGAGGGTACCGCGGATATATTGCAAAAAGGGCAGAGGTATAATTACGAGTAGAGCTCTGCAAGTGGTTAAGACTTTTGCTTTCGCTGAAGCCGCGAATGTCCAATCATATCCCAAGACGCCGTGAACAAAAAGTACGCTGCCAGCGGGATCCGCCTCGCCGCATCTTGGTAAAAAGGGGGGAAATGGCGCGGGGTGTGTCGGCCGGTCGTGCCGAAAGGAGGAACAGCCAAATGATTGGTCAGATGAGAGCCTTGCACGTGATGCTGCCGAAAATGGCAAGTATTGACCCCCCATCTCATATGTAGGTTCTACGCAGCTACAGTTTAACCCATGATGCACTATGATAAAGAGGAACCGATGTAGAATTAGTGCGTCAAGGGTACTAGGAGAAGACCATCTTGTTGTGTATCGAGCCTAACCCATCGATAGTCACACTGACTACATCGCCGTCCTTCAAGCACCCGTTCGAATGCCACCCAACACCCTCCGGAGTCCCCGTCATTATCACGGTCCCACGGCGCAGAGTCCGCCCGTTCGAGCAGAACGCAATGAGCTGCTTGCAAGTCCAGATCATCTCAGACGTCGACGCCTCCTGCCTGACGCTCCCGTTCACCTTGGTCACCAGGTGCAACTTCTGCGGGTCGGGAATCAGCTTCGGCGACACTAAATAGGGTCCGATGGGCCCGAATTTGTCAAACGACTTTGCATAGCCCATCTGCCAGCCCGACACGTCTGGGTTGTTGTAATACCGTGCCGAGACGTCGTTGCCGACGGTATATCCCAGGACGTAATCCAGGGCTTGGTCTTCGGGGATGTTGATCCCGTCTTTGCCGATGACGAGGGTCAGTTCGCCCTCGTAGTCTAGCAAGCTCTGTGCATCTGGAGGGATGGGAATATCCTCGAGAGGTCCTGCAAGTCGGTCTGGAGGTGTGGCGAACACCACAGGCTTCTTGGGTGGGGTGAACTAGAGAGTCATGTCAGCAGGCGACCAACATCTTGCATTTGTAGGACGAAAGAGAAATGTACCGTACCTTCGTCTCACGAGAGTGAGAGTGATAGTTCACACCGGCACAGAGTACTAGCGGAGTAGTGCCGAGAGGGTTAAGCAGCTTCAAAGGAGGTTCAGTATGGCACTTGCTTCTCACACACAGAGAGTGATGGGGCCATACTTTGTGCACTACCGCCTTTTGAGACGATATCTGGAACCCGGATTCTAGATCACCGGAAACCAGTTGAGCTTCTGAACCTTCAATGGCCTTCACGTCGACCTCTTGATCAAGGTTACCATACTGTGTTGCGCCATTTTGATCGATAAATCGAATGAGTCTATCAAACGACATGATGGGACCGGAGTTCACAAAGTGGCTCTTGGTTCGGTCTGGGTCGCAGGTTCTAGGCAGTAAACGTCTACGGGTGTTAGGGGGTATTGAAGTATAGTTGTACGGCCTGTTCTGGTGTTGTGTCATGCAGTGGTCCAGATCCGCGTCCGGGACGCCCCCCAAGTATTTCGGCCTCGTTTGCCGCGACTGGCCGAAATGGGATAGTCGAGCTTGACTGCGGTCAGCGGGGCCCGTTACCGTTCTACCGATGATATTACAGCTCAGGCCGGGATGGGAGTGGCCACCGAGGGATTTCAAGCCTAGTAGCCCGTACATGCACCTTCAATTCCTCTCATTAGTCGACAACGAGGTTTCTTCACCATCCAGACCAAATACTCTTACCTACGGTATCTCTTTTCTGTGACCAGCCATGGCGGACAAGATCTTGATAGACCGTCTCTCGCACTGCCGCTACGGCCACACCGATCTCCAAAAGGCCAAAAAGTTCTTCATCGACTTTGGCCTGATTGTGGAAAAGGAGACGGACGAGAAGATCTATTTCCGCGGATTCGGCAAGGATGCTGTCGTCTACGTCGCCGAGCAGACTCACGACGGCAAGCGACGGTTTCTCGGGGGTGGCTGGATCGTGCAATCGCTGGCGGATTTGGAAAAAGCAGCAAAGGTACCTGGCGCGACGCCGGTGCATGACTACGAGGGTCCAGGGGGCGGCAAGTGTGTGATCATGCCGGACATCATGGGCGAGGATATCACGCTCATTTGGGGCCAGACGGACCGGACGATCGATGAGCGAGAGGCCCCCAAGCCGGTCAAATGGAATACGTGGGAGGATAAGCGTCGGTATGGAGAGTTCCAACGACCGGAACGGGCGAGTCCTTCCAAAGTGCACAAGTTGGGCCACTATGGCTTCGAGGTCGATGTCTCTCGACTTCCCGAGGTGGTGGACTGGTATTGCAAGACCTTCAACCTCAAGGAGACAGATTCTCTTCGGCACGAGCAGAGTGGGAAGATCATCATGACTTTCATCCACATTGACAAGGGGAAGGAATATGTCGACCACCATGTAAGTGATCGTCGTTCTCAAGCCTCGTCATCACGTTAGCTAAGTGTGTCGGTACAGAACATCTTCATCGCCGGCGGCCCGATCGGGGAGGGCATCAAAGCACACCACAGCAGCTTCGAGGTCGACGACATGGACAGCCAGCTGGTTGGCCACCACCACCTCCAGAAGCAAGGCTGGATCAACGTATTCGGACTCGGCCGTCATGTACTGGGGAGCCAGATTTTCGACTACTGGTAAGTTTATCTGCCTGCCTGCCTGACTATCCTTCCGTGTATACGTACACTTCTGTCTACCCATCTCTGCCGTTATGCTAATATTCGCGCTTTAGGTTCGACTCCTCTGGATTCCTGGTCGAGCACTACGTTGATGGCGACCTGGTCAACGAGGACAAGCCGCATGAATTCGAGCCTGCGACGGCGGCAACGGTCGCGAGCTGGGGTCCCGACATCCCGCGGGCATTCTTTTCCAAGAAGCTCGAGGACGTTCCGGGTCTCACGGATATTCCTGTCGTCCCTGCCGAAGCTTAGGAAAAAGTCAATAGTTGAAGGGTTACGTTGTGTAGAGTTGGTTTAGTCGAATGCGAGTATACGTCTATAATGCAACCGAATGTGTTTTGTTTATGCCATACCAGTTTGACATGCCGGGTGAAGCCGAGACCGTAACTACGTAGTATTCTCTGCATTCCGATGTTGCTATGCACATGCTGACTTCACGTCGATACGGAGTGAGGCAAGCGGTGCGTCGGTCTGTAGATAGGAAGGCTATACCCGCAAGTCGGCGGCTCGGCCGATCGGATCTATATCTTTATGAACATGGTATCAGGCCGTCATTTTCCGCGCAAAGCATGGAACGGCGTTCTGAATCACATGTTACAGCTCCAAATATGATCACATCCTCGTATCTTTTGATCTCCTATGAGCACCTCCCTTAGAAGCGTTCGTTGCCTCGACTACAATGGGGTCTACCGGAATAAGCACGGCCCAGACGATGATTGGGAAAATCGCCGTCGTTTCAGGATCGTCCAGAGGAATCGGCGCAGCCATTGCTTTGGAGCTGTCCAGTCGAGGCGCCTCGATCGTCCTCAACTACCCTTACCCCGATCTCCAGGCAGAATGCGACAGTGTGGGCGCGCAACTCAAGACCGACTGGATCTCCGCCTGTGCTGACCTGTCCACCGTGGATGGACCCGCGGATCTGATCCGTCAGGCCGTCGAGCGGTTCGGCCACATCGACATCCTCGTCAACAATGCCGGCTGGGTCCCCCTGGCGCCGCTGTGGGAGTCCGATGTCGAGACGTGGGACAAGGCCATGTCGCTGAACGCACGCGGGGCGTTCCTGCTCACAAAAGCCGCACTGCCTCACCTCACGCCGTACACACCTTCGAACCGTCTCGACGCAGCCGGCGCGACGAACGGATCACGCATCATCATCGTCGGCTCCGCAGCGTCACGCACTCCCCGCGAGAACCAGGGCATCTACGCCGCCACGAAGGGCGCGCTTGACTCGATGCTGCGCGTGTGGGCGAAAGAGTTGCCGCCAAAGTACGGCTGCACGGTCAACGCGGTCGGGCCTGGGCCGGTGTTGACCGACGCGTTCAGACAGAATCTGGGCGAACACTTTGACGAGGTGCTGGAAGCCGCCTCGCGGGAGACGCCGGTCGAAGGAGCTTTTGCGGCGGTGGAAGATGTCGCTTGGACTGTGGCGTTTCTGGCCGAGGAGAGATCCAGGTTCATCAATGGGGCATTCATGCTGCTCTCGGGAGGAAGATATATGCAATAGATAACGATGCCGTGATTTTCAGGGTGTCAACATTGTAGATAGTGGCGCTATGGACCTTTCAGGTCTTGAAATCTCGTATTGTAGCCCTCTTTCAGGTTGATCCCAAAGTGCAAGAGCATTTCTGTGTTTCAATACAGCACCTCCAAGACTTGTATTGATCTCTGTACATAATATCTATCCAAATTCCAAATCACCTTTCCCCCCATTCCTTTCCGCACCGAATCTATCATCACGCCACTGCAATCGATCTAACATCTCTTTTTGAAAGAGAGCTCCCATTCCGGATCTGGTGCAAGCTGTACAATGAACATTAGCTCCAAGGACCACAAAACGAATAGAATGGATGTCGCCAGCAACACTTACAATTCCTTCGTAGATGACGTTCTCAGGCCTGGCCTGGCTGGTCGGGTACTTGACATCGTACCTCGTCAAGAATTCAATCATGATGAGCTTCATTACAATATCGGCCATAAATCTCCCCGGACAGGCGTGTCGGCCGTAGCCCCAGGCAAGGTCGTACTTGCCCACCGTGACCAACTGGTGTTTCTTTGCGTTCTCTTCACTCTCCAATCGCTTTCTGTAGAATCGGAACCCATCGAATTGTTCTGGAGACTCAAAGTATTGGCCGTCCATGTTGATAGCTCCGGTGGGAATGACGAGCGTGGCACCCCTGGGGATGCGCATCCCGTTTGAAAGTGTAAGAGGTTGCATTACTCGTCTTTGGTAGGATGCTTTCAGTTGTTAGATCAAGTCTCTTCGTAACATATGGTCTTTCTGGATGCGGCAACTTACTCAAGTCAGGCGAATTGAGACGTTGAGTCTCTTTCAAAAAGCTGTCGAGCTTCAAGAGTCGGTCCAGGGCCTGCTTCGTCCAAACACCACCAGATGACTGCAGAGTTTGCTCAATTTCTTCACGGAGCTCGGGGATGTATTCGGGATATCCGGACGCGTCGATCAAACACTGCATCACAGTTGCAGCCTGAGCCTGGATTGCCGCCACGCACAGATTCATCTGGGCAATAGTGTGGTACTCGGTATCGTTGATGGAGTCGGAGTATTGGCCCGATGTGAGGCAGTCCATCAGCGACGGCGGATCGTTCAGAGGTTTGTTGCCATTTGCCTTCTTCTTTCGCAGAGACTCCGACACGATCATTCTACCCTCTTCGAACTGTTGCCATGCTTGTCTTCGACCGTCGACAAATCGCCACACCAGCGGACGAAGTGATTTTGGCCATTTCTTCAAGTTGGTGATCCAGTGCTCCACAGTTTTGATATAGACGGCAGCGACATCGAGCCATCGATCGTCCCGAGCAGCAGCCTCACCGAGAAACATTCTCGCACAGATCCTCGAGACTAGTCTATTTAGGGGCACATAGGGCTTGGTAGTAGTCCAAGCTGTGGCTCAGGTCAGCGTGTTCTACATATCATACATGCGTTAGAGTTACTCACATTCACATTCTCCGATGGGGAAATATTCACAAATCCAACGATGGATAGTTGGGACATATTGTGCTGGAGTAGTATAAGTGACTGTCTCGTCAAGGAGGAAGGACAACATACGCAGCAGTGGATTGAAGTCTCTGATGTAGACCTGGATCTGTGCCTCTGTAAGGTTTCCTAGTTTGGTATATTCCTTTAGGGTAAACTAGATACATGTCAACGATCCGTATGTCCAAAGATGGTGTAGTGATTCACCTGTTCCTCTAGGAAGGCACCGAACGTCAAAGTCCTATGGCCTTTCAGATCGTCCAGATACTTCAGTGGAAGAACAATATTAGTCCCTAATATGTCTCGTTAGCACACCCCCTCTGACCTCTAAGCATATTACTCACCTTCGGTAGTGTTGATCCCAAACACTTGGTCCTTGAACTGAATAGCCATCTGTCAGCATTTCTTCTCTATCATATTTTGGTCGTCCCATACCACTCGATACCCGTGGATCAAGAGCTCTCTCGTATCATTGACATAACGCTCAATCCGATCCTTTTCATTCGGCAGTTCTTCCTGCAAAGCGATCGGCAGGTCAGGCAGCTTGTGGGCTCCAGTGCCTTTGGCGAGCAGGGCATTGAACAAAGCTATGACAATCAGAACCGAGATTGAGGCCAGCACCGCCAATTGGCCTGTCCGAATGTTGCCTGTAAGCGGTGACTCCAGCAGCGACCACATCTTGCTTGAACAGTCACGATCGAGAGAAATATCCACCCGCTTCGTCTAACACACAACCAGCGCCTTCAGCGGACACAATGTAAAGAAAAGCCTGAGACCTCACGCATCTTGTCTATCTGATCAGAAAACCCTTCATGGCCGAATAAGGCAATGCGATTCGATGCCTGGTAGGGACAATTAGGCAGGAGCTGGACCCGGAGCAGGGTCCGACAAGATACTCAGCATCACGAATGCAGAGGTGAGTCTCGGCAAAGATGGGAATTCGCCCTTCGGGGCCGACACCAATCATATCACTTCTTGGGATACGGGACGCCAGAGGATATCTGACTTTCTGGCTCCACCACGGACGAACTGGTGTCGGTACCGATGTCCCAGATACACCGACCGATACACGCAGCTCTGGCAAGAATCTGGGCCATCTACATGCTGTCGAGGAATGCCCGACATGAACCTCACAGGGGATTGGAGCGACACGGGCAGGCGCCTCATCTACAGGTCTGAAGCTAAGCCTGCTTGGCCACCTGGCAGTCAACTCCAGCTAGGAGTGTCCTAAGTGAGCTTGACAATATCGAACAATACGTCCTCTCATCAATAAAGCTGCTCTCCATGGAGAGGTCTTCCTCGCTGTTGACGCTCTGCTCACAACTTCAACAGCTGAGCTTTCTGCCTATCTGTCACACATATTAGAACCAAAGTTCATGATCCCTCGGACTCAAGGTGTCAGCACCGTTACTGCAAGAATGATGCGGAGTACCCCAGTTTCCCAGGAGGACTGTGGAGTTGCCCCAGTTCACCCTGTGCTCCCACGATGGCCTATGCTCTTCGGGCCTCTGCTCAAGTTTCCCGGTAGTTCTCACCCTCTTAAACCCCTCATGGTAGGCCATACAGTGATGCGTGGTTATTCAAACTCTCCACCTAGAGAGAGCCCCGAGTCTACAACTAGATCTTCCTCCAGGTAAGCTCTTTGTCAAAAATGTCAATAAAACCAGACTTCGACATTGCCATCGTGGGCGGGGGCATCGCTGGCCTTTGCCTCGCCTTGTCCATCATTGGCCAGTCTTCCATACCGGTCACCCTCTACGAAGCAGCACCAGCATTTGGGGAGATCGGTGCCGGCGTCGCCTTTGGGCCCAATGCAGTGCGGGCCATGTTCCTGATATCGAAGGAGTTTGGCTCGAGATTTCAGGCCCGGGCAACATCCAACTTGTCGCCAGAAAAGAAGAATACCTGGTTCGACTTCCGCATCGGCATGGATGGCAAGACTGAAGAGGCTCGGCAGCGAGGTGTTCGAGCCGGCCAATTCCTCTGCACGGTCGACGAGCCAGAGCCGCACAGTGGCTTGATCAACCGCTCTCACTTCCTCGACATCCTGGTTGACCTGCTCCCGCCCAATTTCGGGACCTTTGGCAAGATCCTGACGTCGTTGGAGGACAACGGCCCTGCTGGTGTGCTCTTGCGCTTTGAAGACGGCACAGAAGCCACGCACAGCGCAGTCATTGGTTGCGACGGAATCAAGAGTCGCACGAGACGTATCCTTGCCGGGGAGGATAGTCCCAAGGTCCTGCCGACTTTTACCGGGAAATACTGCTATCGCGGCATGATCCCTATGCACCTTGCAGTGGAGAAGCTGGGCGAAGAGCTCGCGCAGAATTGTCAGGCTTACATGGGATATCATGGGCATATTCTAACCTTCCCCGTCGCCAAAGGGAAGATGATGAACGTTGTCGCATTCCACTCGCAGGACGAATGGCGACACGAGAGGATGGTGATACCGGCCACAAAGGAACAGATCTTTGCAGACTTCAAAGATTGGGGCACGCAAGTCAAGGATATAATCAACCTGATGGGCCCCTCGGACATCTGGGCGCTCTTTGATCATCCCAGCCTCGACACCTACACGCGCGGAAGACTATGCTTGATGGGCGATGCAGCTCACGCATCGACGCCCTTTCAGGGCGCAGGCGCCGGGATGGCGGTGGAGGACGCATATGTGCTGGGGAGTCTTTTGACGAGTATCCGGAGCGGCGATCAGCTGGAGTCGGCATTTCAAGCTTTTGATGCGCTCCGACGAGAGCGGACACAGAGGCTGGTGACTTCGAGCAGAGAGTCTGGTCAATTGTGGCACTTTGAGCTCGAGGGAGACGATGTAGAAAAGATCCGAGATCTACTTGCGAGTCGGATGCGTTGGATTTGGGAATATGACATCGAGGCCGATGTGAGAGCCGCCGTGGCTACGCTGCAGCAGCAGCAAGAGTGAAGCCTCTGGGCGTAAGGGCTATTGTCTTTCTAAAATCTATGTATCTCGTATGGGGTTCCCATGCTATGAATAGCCTGAGAGAATGCCTCCCCTTACAGGAGTTGATGCCCTGACTGATCTGGGGCGACAACATCGAGCTGCTCACGAGGACAATAATTGCATATAGTATGCGACTTGATGAGTACTCCGAGTACAAGTACGCATAACTCCAATTTACTGTAAGAGGCTAAAACAAAGCATTGGGATTTCGCCACTCCACATTACTATCCATCACGAGGGCGCATCGTCTTCAAATCCCCATGGCTCAGGCTACACACAGTACGACTCCTCGCATGACAGCGGATTCCCATGTGCGACTCCAGACCGCCTGCCACGACCATGAATCACTCCTCTAGAGGCGGTGGCCAGCGACGCAGCTTGTCCGAGATAATGCGAGCTCGTCGCTTTGCCTCCGCATAACCGAGAAGACGCCCACATGCCACCGTTCTTGCCACTTTAGATTCCAAACAAAGGTGCGTGATGAGGGTTGCGCTTCGGGAGATTTTCCGACCCGATCATCGCAGTGAGTGATACTGAGACCCAACATTGTAGGTAGGTGAGTGTGTCTGGGCCTGGATACCTTGACCAAGGGAAGAATATACTTCTCGGCTGTCGCGTGTGGGCTGATAAGGTCTGGTGTCTCTGTACTTTGTATATGCTTGTATAACAGCCCGGCTTTCTTGTTTCACACTGCATCTGTCATTGCTTCGAGGAGCTTTACACAAACAGCCTTCCACGTCAGACACTACACAAGCAAAATGATCGCTCAGAAACCACCCCTCAAGGTGATCGTGGTCGGTGCCGGCTTCGCGGGGCTGGCTACAGGCATCGAGTGCGCCCAGCGCGGAATGGACGTCACCATCCTGGAGAAGTACACCGACTCGAACAGTCAAGGAGGTACGGTAGCAGCACCATTCATTCCAGCAGCGAAGAGAGTAAAGAAAACATATCTCTGACTAAATTCTCCCCTTCCACAGATATCCTCGACTTCTTCCCCAACGGCGGCCGGGTCATCAAGCGCTGGGCCAACGGCGCCGTGGGCGCAAAGATCCACGAGACGGGGTGCAACAAGATCCGCGCCATGGAGCTGTACAAGTACGACGGGAAATACATCGTCGACGTGCCCTGGGCGCGGACCGAGGAGGAGTTCGACGTCACCTACGCCGGCCACAGGGGGAAACTCCACAGCATCATCGCCGAGTACGCGCGGAGCCAGGTCAAGGACGTCCGAGTCGGCGTCGGCGTGGTCGAGTACCTGGAGGAAACGGACCGAGCCGGCGTGCGCCTGAGCACCGGTGAAACGCTCTGGGGCGACTGTGTCATCGCCGCGGACGGGCCACGGTCCATCGCGCGCAAACAGGTGCTGGGCATCACGGACGTCAAGGACGGGACCTCGTGGGCCGTGTTTCGGAGCTTCTTCAAGACGGACGAGGCGGCGCGGAAGCACCCGGACCTCCAGAACTTCTTCTACGAGGACAAGGACACGGTGCGGTTCTGGATGTGGGAGCATCTCAGCCTGATGGCATTTCAATGGAACGGAGGCAAAGATGTCGCATGGGTTCTCATTCATCCGGTACATACATTTCCTCTCCATCTTGACATGACATGACTGACTACTGACAATCCCGGACCAGGAACAAGACAACTCGGACGAATCGTGGTCCAACATCGCAAAGAAGGAAGAGGTGATTGAGTGGATGAAACCCTTCACCGGTAAAGACGCCCGAGCCCTCCTCGACATCACCCCGCTGCACAAGACGATCGATTTCAAACTGGTGTACCGCCCCGCGATCCCCAAGTGGACCAGCGAGGGTGGGCGGACGATTCTCATCGGCGACGCCGCCCACGCCAACCTGCCCACCGCCGGTCAGGGAGCATCGCAGGCCCTAGAAGACGCCGTCACGGTGGCCCACTGCCTGGCCGAAGCGGACGGCGACGTCCGGCTCGGGCTGGAAGCCGCGCAGAGGATCCGGTACCATCGATCCAACGCCGTGCACAAGAGCGGCCAGATGAACCGCGACGCGTTCCGGAATATTCCATGGGACGAGATCGAAGCCAACCCCGAAGCATGGGCCAAAAAGAGGTTCCCGAAGCTGAAGCCGTGGGATCCCCAGGTGTGGGCCGAGGAGAATTTCCCCAAGGTCGCCGAGGAGATCAGGCTGGCAAGACGGGGCCGTTGGACGAAGTTGCAGTGCCTTTGCCGGAGGGTGGAATCTGGTCGATTGCGACTTAAAATCTCACAAGTTTCTCGGGGGGGAGGGGGGGTTGTTAGGCGGACTTCGTGGTTGATATGCTGAATGCTGGGGAATATAAACACGTTGGGAAAGTTGTCCCTCTCTCTATTAGGATAGTATATAGTTTATCGGCGTAGATAGTACAATGCACTCTCCATCAACAGCTCGGTATACCACATATGCAGCCGCTGCACTTTCTCCATCGGCTTTTCCGTCGTCGCCGCCTTGCTCGCACCCTGATACATGGCCGTTTTGATGCTCAGATCGGCGACACCCGCGTCGAAATCCGGGTCGATGGCGACTTCGAGAAGACTGTCGTGGTCACGCAGAGACTCCCCCGCGGTGCCCTGCGACTTGCCGGCGCGGAACAAGATGGACGTCGGCTCTTTGGCAATGACCTCGAGATGATCCGTGACTATGGTGCCGATCTCATAGTTGCTGGCAAACAGATCCGCAGACTCCCACAGCTGTGTTGAACGTCCGGGCAGGCCGCGGAATAGTTTTGCCCAGAGGAGTCTTTGGGGTGTGAATCCTAGATCCATCCATCCATTCTTGGTCAATACCAGACCCGTATATTCATTCTTGTCCGAAAGACCAATACGAGTGTCAGACTCACCGAATCCACCCCACACGCCGCCGCAGAACCTCTCGATGAGTTTCGTTCCTCCCTGCCGCATATCGCTGACGAGCTCCGGGGGCAGGTCCGACAGGCGCACGCGACGGACACAGACATCGATCAGCGTGGGATTGTGCCACGGGTTGTATTTGTTGAAGAACCTCGAGGTCATGATCGAATCGGATGCGTCGTTGATCTCGTGCCACTGGCATTTTCTGGTGAAGAGGTAGAAGCAGCCGATCGAGGTGGCGCCCACGGCTGTTGCGCCTCTGGCGAGTTTGAAAATACCGGATCTCAGGCCCATCCTCGACTATCAGCACTGAAGCAGGAGTCGAAAGGTCGTGGTCACCGTCTCTGTCCTCTGTTCAGGAGCAGTGCTGATCTGTTAAAGGAAATAATACTCGTGCAATTTAACAAGGTACAAGCCTTCCTAGGCTACGGGGCTCTCGCCCGACGGATCCTCAAAGGGGGTAATCAGGCGTCGGGGTGTCGAGACGGAACTATTCTACCAATTTGATACATCATTGGAGATAGCAAAATGTTATATCCATCCATTCATTGCATGCAGCTCCCATCTTGTGCTACTCTTGGCACCCTTGCTACAGAGTTGCTCTGTTTAACTAAAGGCAATCGTCCCATCTACGGTGCTTCCTAGATGACTTTCAACCTGGCATACATTTCAGACACTGCTTTCTCAGACTTCTCATAAACAGCCACATCGTTTATGACTTTGTCGGCTTAGGGATAGGCAACGTCGCATAATTCGCCATTGCATCAATATGCTCCTGTGCCGTGATGGGCCGATCTCCATTCACCATGGTGCCCAACAACTTGAAGTAATTGATATAAAAGGCCGGCGTGTACGTGTTGAAGAACTTGGACTCGCCGTCGGTGGGATTACTGAATGTATGTGGTGCCCGGATCGGCACGACAACGTAGTCGCCTTCTTTGGCGTCGATGGTCTCCTCGGTGCCGTCCTCGCGGGGGATGTGGTAGCGGATCGTCCCCTTGGTAGTCCAGAAGGTCTCATCGTGCATCTCGTGCCAATGGGCCGGAGGACCTTTCATCCCCGGGGGGAGAGTGAATTCGGCGGCACCGATGCGGTTGTCTTTTTTTGACACAGTTGTCAGCATTCCAATACCTTGTTGTTTCATTACCTGCTTTACATACCGGTACGTGAGCCATCTTCTAGCACTCGACAAGTGATGGGGCCGAGATGGATGATCTCGCCAGCCTTGGCCGGGACGAAGTTGACGGGGATCCCGTTCTGGGGGAACTTGAGCAAATGGCCCGGAAATTCTTCGCCCATTTTCGATTGTAGATTGGAGGTTCACAGGAAAGAGATGGGAGAGGAGATCTCGTAGATGCTGGAGCTGGTTCTGGCCATTGCACAGACCATTTGCTCTGATAAACAGTTACTACCGTTGTACCCAGTCACTCAGTCGGCGGTCTGGTGCGAGGCTCTCGGCTGCTGCGGCCGATGTGGGAACGACAATGATGTTCGCCGAGGCCTCCATACCAAGTCCAGGGCGTCCGGGGTACCACGTTCCAGGCCTCACTCGACTTTGCACTGGAGATGGCTTCCTTCTGCTTGCGAGAGACTGTCGGGTTCAGGGCCCGACGGAGATTGAACACTCGTCTTTGCTGGTCCAGGTGGGCATCAGGGACAATGAGGTCTTCTAGAGCACCGAACATCGATATTGAAGCAACATCAATACGATCGCTCCTGATCCAACCGCCAAGAAGGATTGGATTGAATCACATCCATCCCAACCGACCAAATTCCAGTCCTTGCCCATCTGTCTGGCACGCACAAAAACATTTCCTAAGACAGCACAAAAGCCAACCTTCACCATGCTCTACGAACCCGGAAAATCACCACACAACCTCCCCCACGACCCCTTCAAAGCCTGCGTGATCCCCCGACCGATAGGATGGATCTCGACCATATCGGCAGACGACCCAAGCGTGCACAACCTGGCGCCCTACTCACAGTTCACCAACCTGACATTCGACCCCCCGTACGTCATGTTCTCCGCGAACCAGAAGCCCAACCTCGAACGCAAAGACACGGTGCGCAACGCCGAGAAGACGGGCAAGTTCGTCTGGAACCTGGCGACGTGGGACCTGCGCGAGGCCGTCAACATCTCCGCCGAGCAGGTCCGGTACGGGGTCGACGAGTTCGCGCGGGCCAATCTCGACAAGGAATGGAGTCAGATCCTGCCGGGCCAGAAGGTGCCCATGGTCAAGGACAGCCCCGTCAAGTTCGAGTGCGTCTATCACACAACGTTGCGCCTCCCGGGGAACCCGCCCATGGGCACCGTCGACGTGGTGGTCGGCAAGGTCGTCGCCGTGCACATCAAAGACGAGGTCCTCACGGACGGGAAGCTGGATCCCAAGAAGACGCTGCCGATCGCGAGGTGCGGGTACTACGACTACACGGTCGTGCGGGACACGTTTGAGATGATTATCCCAGGGCTCGACGAGTCGTCGCTCGCTGGGCTGGAGGGCAGTAGAGCCAGGCACCAGAAGCTTGGTCAATCAAAGATATAGTCGCAGGTCTTAGATCCAGAATCCGTGGGTAATAATTTTTCATTGCTTTGGGATTTAAGGACATGTGTATATTGTGTGCTTGTGGTATTCTGGACTCGCTCGCTCAACCAACTAGGAAGTAAACCAGACGCTCTACCCCTCTTCCAGCGTTCATAATGTGCACTAGTTTGACAAATACAGCCTCTATAGATAGTCACGGAAACCCTCCCATATTGAAGTCCGCAGAAGTAAAGTCTGGGATGTCTTCGCCAAAGTCCAAGCCGGGCATTTGATCCGCGTCCCCGTCTGTCTCGTGCTGGTCGAGCCAGAAAAGGGCATTGTGGTCACTGAAAGACATCCTGCCCGGATCGTCGAGTGGTTGTTCCTGCTGAGACGACAGAGCGGGATATGGCATTCCCCCATCCACACCTTCGTGGCTGCCAGACCCAGACTCTACCGCTGCTCCCATGCTGCTGGGAGGAGGACCTCGCACATCCACCGAAGCCGAAGCTGAACCTGTGGAAGGCACCGACACGCTCTGTCTGCGCTTTGCGGCTTGCAGGGCTTTCCGCCTCTGCGCCTTCGCCTGGTCCATCATGCGCATGATCTGCCGCCACTGGCGCGCCTCCCTGTGAATCCCCGACGACATGGGGTTCCATCTGAGCACGGCCATTTCCTCGACGGCGCGCCAGCCGCGCTTGGCCTTCTTCCCCAAGGGCTGCAGACAGAGGCAGTAGAGAACATAGGCCAGGGCCTCCCACTGGTTGAAGGAGTGGAAGAACCAGTGCCACTTCTGGGTTCGGGGGTCGGTGCGGAGCTTGAACGTCGTCTCGAGAGTCTCGACGGCGTCCTCGAAGAGTCTGTCCCTCTCACTTTCGGTCAGGGTGGTGTGTCTCTGCAGGGGCTCTTGGATGTGGAGGCGCAGTTTGCGCGTCAGGATCGAAACGAGTTGCTGTGTGGCCTGCTCAAGACATCAGTTTTCCTTTCCATTCCTACATTTGGCATTGGGGAGGGAGTGGTATCTGAGGATATACAGACATACCCATTGTAACGGACTCGAGGGCGAACAGAGCCGGCTGTACCGAAGAAATAAATGCTGTTCGCACGATTGCACCCACATGTGTCTCTCCTGAAGAGACATGTCGCAGAGTCGTTTGCCCATTTCGACGAGATACCGTCGTGAATCGGACATGGTTCTCATGATGTCGGTGATCTCGCACCGGAGGAGGATGAAGGTCGTGTCTGTGAACGTTTCCTGCCGATCCGGGTAGTCTGTCATATCTGGGAACAGGTCTCTATCGTCCAGATTCCGCGGGAGTTGTGCATCGAAGCTGCTGACCTCGAGTCTTGCGACGAAACCAGTCAGCGAACACTATCTCAATGGCATTTGTGCCAGATACTCACAAGGTATATTCGGATGCAGAATCTTCAGAGGCCGGCGCCTCGAGAATCGCAATCTGCCACCATAACCTCCGCCGGAGCTCCAGCTGGAACAAGGGCAGGCCAAAGTCACCAGAGCGGTGTAGACCGAGCGACTGTCCCAGTCGGGCTGCGAGGCCGGTCAACTTCCACGATAGCTGGGCACTGTGGTTTCGTAGCAAGACCAGATATAATACAAAAGCCTGCAGGACCTCGAGGTCGTCCGTCGAGACCAGCTTGCACTTTGCCAGTGCTCGCTCAACACCGAGGCGGAATCGCGAACAGAGCGTCGAGCGATCCTCGGAGAATAGAGACTGGCATTCTTCGTTTGACAAACTGGTGACAGATCCGAAGAAGATGGCAAAACAGAGCGCTTCGAGACTGTCAGAAGGCCGATGATCTTGTCTCATCGCGTCGACCAGTCTAGGTTCGAGCGTGGGGACATGGACAATCTTCGTCATGGGGTCGATGTTTTCCTTGAAAATACTCCAGAGTAGCATTCTCGCTTCTGGAGGTGGCTGGAGAGAGCTTGCGTTGTCAGGACCCGGATCGAGGCCGAGAAAGAAGCTGTAGTCAGGCTGGGGCTCCTCTTCCTTGGACACGAAGTCTTCTTCTTCCCCTTCTTCGTCATCGTCTTCGTCCTCTGATTCCGAAACAGAGGCTCCCGGCGGCTGATCGACGTCAATATAGCCCCCTGAAGCATGCACATCTGTCACCCACATACATACCCGCAAGTTCAAGGCATTCCACGGGGACTCCTTGACGTAAGTCAGCTTGCCCTGATCACGAACCAGCCTGCCGCCAGCCGAGTCGGGTGTTCTCGTTGCGGACACCCACTCTCTCCCAGCATCGACCCCCGGCTGTGTGGGCAGCTGGCTGGGGGGTATCTCTGGTAGCATTCGCTGCTGGGAAGATGACTGAGGAAGGGAAATCTGTGGCCCAGGCTGCGGGGCTGGGCGAGGTGATACCGGTCGAGGCGCCGGTTCAATCTGTCTCTGCCTGAGAGCAGGCTCTAGTGTATGCACTGCTTGCGCGAGGGACTGTATTGTCCTCAACAGCTCCGGCGACGAGGCCAGCAGCTTTCCTCTCGACGTGGTCGGATAATTGCACGGCATCTGCATCTTGACACAGTTCTCGCAGGGCTGTTTCTTGTTGCACTTGACTTTTCTTCTCCTGCACGCAAAGCATGATCTGGATTTTATGGCGTTGTCGTTACCCTCGACGCCGCCGCTGAGGTTCCCTGACTGCGATGGCGGCTGCTGGTCTTGATCACTACTCGTCGGTGGCTCAAGGTTCCCCTGTCCGCTCCGGGCCTTGTCCATGGCGGGGTGTACGTATCTCTGGTAAAGTGTCGTGATCACAGAAGTGTCAATCTGGTGACCCAGCATCGCCTGACCTCCCTCGGTCGGGGGGTGTACAATAATGGGACTATCGAGATCAAACATAGATATGATAGGCGGCCCTAGCGCGACCACGGGGAGGGATAAGCAATAGATGTGACCTGATGTGATACTGATCCGACCAAGACTGGAATCTGCCCAACCACCACTACACCTCTCCCATCGGTAGCATCGAGACAGGAACAGGGAGAATGAATGGCCGTTCCCGCACCTCCGAGGCCCAGACTTGTGCGGTCCAAAGCAGTAATTGGGTCAAGTCTGATTTGCTCTCGCCGAGTCTCGTATCTTCGCCCGAAGCGTCAATACTGGGAAGGAGAGTCCCGCCGGTTTGCTCGGTACGAAACACCCGCCCCGCCAGACCCTTGTCTTCAGGGCTGTTTCACCTAGAATAGATAGATAGCGAGGGAATGGAGACGTACAGGTGCGAAAGACAGTGAGAAAGCCATTCAAGCGCCTCGGACCTGGCATACCATTGCTACACACAATGTTGCTGACCCCATTCTCAGTCTTCGTCGTCGCCCCCGCTCTCGCGCTACTCAGCGGCATCCTCATCGTCCTCTACCAATGGGTTGATGTGCTGATCCGCCGCCGCCGCCTTCCTCCCGGGCCATTCCCTTTGCCCTTGGTCGGCAACCTCTTCCAGCTGCCTCGGGAGAAGCAATGGTGTAAATTGGAGGAATGGTCAAAGGTCTACAACAGCCCCATCATCACGTACTGGGAAGGGTGCAAGGCCACGATCGTGTGCAACGACGCCTGGACCATCTCGGAACTCAATGACCGACGCGCCAATATCTACTCGTCGCGCCCGTACAAGACGGTCACGGGCAAGCTGTTCGGGCTGTATGATATGAACCAGGCGGGGTTGCCGTATGGCGATCGATGGCGGCTGCATCGGCGGTTGACGGTACGTCTCTCCCCTCTCTCCCTCTCGGCGTCTATTAGTGTAGGAGTGAAGCAGTCACCCAGTATTTAATATGCTAGGAATGTTAACATCAAAACCTCTGCTAGCACGCCGCGACGAATGCTTCGATAGTGCACAATTACCAGCCTTTCCAAGGTCAAGAAGCCAAGATCCTCGTCAACGACTGCCTGGAGCGACCCGAATCGTTCGTCGATGCGGTGGACCGATACACTGTATCAGTCGTGTCAACGATCGCCTGGGGCCGGCGGATCAGGGCGTACGACGACCCGGTGCTCCGCGTCGCGCAGGCATTTGTGGGATCGTCGTCGCTCGCGCTGCCCGGTCGGTGCTGGACCGAGGCGATCCCCATCCTCGCCGACATGCCCAACTGCCTCAACACGCTGCCGGCCATGATGAAGACGCTGGCGACCAGCTCGAACAAGTACTTCTACGCGCTGTGCGAAGAGGGCGCCAAACAGCCCGAAGACAACTTTGCCAAGCGGCTGATCCGCGAGGGCGAGGACGGGCTCGGCCGTGTCGACATTGCCAATTTGACGGGCAACTTCATGGGAGCGGGCGTCGACACGACCAGCTCGTCCCTCCTCTCGTGCATCCTGGCCATGTGCCTCTTCCCGGACGTCCAGGCGAAAGCCCACGCCGAGCTGGACCGCGTGGTCGGCCAGGACCGGTCGCCGACGTGGTCCGACGAGAACCAGCTGGAGTTCATCTACGCGCTCGTCCAGGAGACGTTGCGCTGGCGCCCTGTCTTCCCGCTCGGCGGACCCCAGCACTGCCCGATCCAGGACGACGAGTACCAGGGCTACCGGATCCCCAAGGGCACGCCCATCCTGGGCAACCTCTACGCCATCAACCGCAACCCGCGCGAGTACCCGGAACCCCTGGAATTTCGACCCGAGCGCTTCATTGGGGACCTCGAACGGCCGTACCCTAATAAGAAGGGACATAATGTCTTCGGCTGGGGTCGGCGGGTCTGCAGCGGCGAGTCGCTGGCGCAGCAGAGTCTCTTCTTCACCATCGCGTGCCTGCTGTGGGCGTTTGAGATCAGACCAGGGTTAGACGACAATGTAAGTTTCTTTTCCTCTATCAGAATCTTTGACACACAGAAAGGAATCCCTTCAAGGTGACAACAACAAAGAACTAACGTGCGAGATGAATCAGGGCAAGGAACTCAAACTCGACCCCGAAGCATACAATAACATGCAAGTCAACCGGCCCCTGCCGTTCAAGGCACGCTTCATCCCCCGCTCGGAGAAGATTGCGAATATCATCAAGGACGACGCCGTTGCTGCCACCGAGTTTCTCAAAAAGTACGATGGCGAGACAAAAGTCACCAAGGAGAATGCGCAGTCGGTTGTGCTTGAAGCCGTCACGCCGGCGATTGAGAAGGCGTAATTACAGCCCCAGAGGAGAGCACGTTGGAGGAAGACGCAAGAGGAGATGCGGGATCGTACATACATGGCATATAGCATTGATACCTAGGTATATAAGCCCAGGTAGCTGGTCGAACATGAGTAGAGGTTTGTCCGAGAGGCTGCATCTCATGCACATTGGAACAGAAATAGAGTAGAAGCTCGAGCAATTGGAGGGTTACAAAGGAAACCACCCGAGGTATATCATTGTAGTACAACCCAAAAAAAAGAAGGCGACTTTTGGTACGAACTAGGTCGACCAACTCGGAGGGATCTTCATTTCAGAGCAAATTCTGGGTATCAGTCCTCACATGTAAATTCAGAGGCAGGACAGTTTCGACGCGAAACTGAAGAGGGAATCGAGATGTTGAGTTGGGAATCCATGTTGCAATGTACACCCAGGTAGTGTGGTGGTAGTCTACCTCGAATGAGTGAGTGGATGAGACTGTATCTCTCGCTGTTTCATTACCCTTACTCCGGAGTGTCGAATATTGAAACGTGATCGAATCACTTGCATGTAACCTAGCATGCTGGCTCTGTTCAAATCCCTCCCCATAAACGACGAACGACCACACGTTTCATCACGGCCTTTCCATGCCCTCCCAGGACAAGGACGATCTTACCACGCCAACTTCGCCGCATCCGGCCCTCCAGCACCATCGCAGATCCCTTTACAAAACGCCTCGTCCTCCTCCAACTGCGAGCCGCTGGCGGACCTCTTCGCGGGCCAAATCTGCTTCCCCGCCACTTTCTCCCGTTCGGCGTGCTTCAGGAGCATCTCGCGAATGATGGACTCGGTGTAGGACACGCCGGCCTCGAGGTCCGGGTGGAGCGGGCCCGTGACGAAGGCGCCCGAATTGAGGTTGCCCTGGGCGCCGTTGGCGAGCCACTTGTCCTCGCCCTCGACCTGGCTGTAGAAGTCGAGTTCCTTTTCGAGCTTGGCCGGGTCGATGCCCTTGCGGCGGTAGACCTCGTACCGCATGGTCGAGGTGGTGGCGGATGTGGGCACGATTTGCATCATGTAGAAGAACTCTTGACTGGGACACACCGTTAGCGGTAACATCTTGGGGATTGGAGGTGTGGTTGAAGAAAAGGGGGAGACTCACGTCATGGTCACCGAAGAGTTGGGAAACATATATGTCGGACTGACAAACGCTGAGCGGTCTTCCTCGGCGTTGCCCATGTGCTTGATATAGTACCGCTCACAGCCGTAGACCAGCTGCTTCTGCGCAATGAAGGGCGCCAGACCAGGATGCGCGGTCGGACAGTGATAGCACTTTTCAGGCCAAGTCAGTACTCAGCCCGTCGTCGAGAATGCCCATAGGCGGCCGAAGAACAGAGGAGAGAATGCATACCTCGTTATAGTTCTCAATCAGTGTCTTCCAGTTGAACTTGCCCTCCATGCCCCACGTGTGGTTATACTCGTAGTCGTCCATGTCGAAATTGGACAGGCGCGGCTGTGTATCGACGCCGCCAAACTGCTCGTCCCACGACACGGTCGGGGTCTCGGCGGCGTCGAGGTTCACCCAGATGAAGCCCCGGACGTCGACGTGGACGTGGACCTGGAACAGCGAGTACTCCTTCTTGTCGAAATCCTCGACCGAGTCGAATCGGGGTGCTTTGGCCAAGTTTCCATTCAGGCCGTAGGACCATCCTGTTGGTAGTTAGTACCCACTCGCTCACTCACTCACTTACACCCTCTCTCTCCACAGGCAGAGAGCATAGCTCAGGGCTTGATGCCTACCGTGGTATTTACATGCCAGAATACTGACTTTGCCTTCGTCCTGGTGCACCAGGGGAAACGCCCGGTGTCGACAGATATTGAGGAACGCGCGGATCTCGCCCTGCCGGTCTTTGATGAGCATGAAGGGAATGCCGGCCACCTCGTAGCGGACGTAGGTGCCCGCCGCGCCAAAGCGGAGTTTATGTGAGATCAACAGCCATGACTGCGAGAAGATGGCGCGGCGTTCGAATTCGTAAAAGGCCGGCTCTGTATACCACGACGCGGGGAACGTTTGGCGTCGTTCAGGGGTCTTTTGCGCCGGCATGGTGATTTGTAGGCGGGGGTCTGAGGTTACTGATGATATAGCTAACAATAGCGGCACCGAATGGTCTGGTAGTCTGGTAGGCTTATCGATATGTAATACTATAGTTCTGATATCCAATACTGTACTTACTAGGCCAGTCCGTCCAATGTGTGGCTCTCTAATAGTTCCAGAGGGACCTCCTCGGATACTCACGGCCGCAAAGCCGCTTAGGCGACGAGCCTCTGAGTGGCCAAGGCAGCCCTTGGGACGGGGACAATCAGGGCCCAGAAGCCAGACACAGGGGCGAAGATGCCCGTCCGAGCCCTCGCGACTTCGCCTGTGCAACCCCGAACCAGCTCGTTTTCGGGGTGTTATCATCTCCTATCATAGCAGCCTGAAAGAAGGTTGTTTACCTGTGATAAACAAACACAAAGGGTTCAGCATGATGCAATCACTTTTGCCACATCAGATCCAGACATCTGCTGATCCTCTCAAGTCTCAAGATAAGAAATGAATGATTGATACATTTGCCATTACTGCTGTTGAGTAAAAGCTACAAGCCAG